GTAATTCTTTTTTATCTCATTTTAACTGCTGCCAACTAGAGAAAGGTACTAGTTATTCGCAGTTGAAGGATGCAAAGCTTATTTCTTTGCCAGCTGTTACAATCCAGTAAAGGACACATCATGTTCAACTATGCTCTTTCCTTTTAAAAATAGATTTGTTGGCTGTGGGAGAAGCTAGGGAAAAGCACCAGGAAGCAATGGATGGGGCTGCTTGGTTCTTGGTATGGAAGGACAGTTGGCAGGACCAGGAGGCAGCCAGCAACTAAAACTGGTGAAAAGCTAGTAGTGGGCACAGCAGGAGAAAATCATCGTTAGACAGTAATGAGGACACAACGACAAAAGGTAAGAGCAGGATGATGGAGCAGGAACCACTGCAAACCCACCAAGACCTCTGAGGACATGCAGCCATCATGTTAGCCCTGGCACAGGCAGGCAAAGTGGCTAATGCCTCCTTCTCCTTACTGCTCAGCCCTGCTGAGGCCGCTGCCACTCCTCTTCACCACCTGTCAAGCCCATGATGCTCATTCTCTGTTGAAATCTACTGTAGATTCAGTCATTGCATGTTTTTAGGTCAAAAGAGTCAGGATTTCTTTCCCAGGCTTGCAAACGCTGATCAGTATTGAGGCCGGCTGAATTTCAAATTTCAATACATTGACTTAATGTAAATGCAAAAAAGTAGGCATTTCACGGACTCAGAGAATAGCTTAGTTTGGAAAGGACCTCTGGAGGCCAGCTGGCCCAAACTCCACTCAAAGCAGGGACAGCCCCCCATCACATTGGATCACATTGCTCCAGCATCATCCAGCTGAGTTTTGAGTCTCCCCAAGGATGGAGGCTCTACAACCTCTCCGGGCAACCTGTACCATTGCTTGAGCACTCTCACAGTGAATGTCCATGGCAGCTTCCTCATGTTGCCTATCATAGGACTTTCTTTCAAAAAGAAAATTTCTCACTTTATATAAAACCAGGCCACGATATCTTCCAATTATAGCAACTTTTTTTTTTTACCTCATTACCTATGCAGCACAACATCTGCAAGTTCACAGCATCAATTTTTGAAATCACAATACAGTGTCGTAGAAAAGGTCAAGGCAAAAGATAACATCAAAAAAGCAAAGGAAGAGTAAAGAAGGCAGGGTAGGGTTTTCAGAGGCATCTAGGGCACTACAAGTTCAAAGGAATTTCAGTACCATCATTCATTAGGCACAGGATTACTTGCTGATAACACTACAGTCTGTATGTACGAGTAGATAAAACTCATCTGTTCCTCAAAAAGTTTCAAAGTGAAGACAGCACCTACTTAGAGAAACGTAAAAAAACCACTATTTTGTTTCCGTCACACATAATAAATGTAGCAAAGGAAAATAACAAGTGCAAGCTTATTACCCACAATTGCTAACAATTAAACGTTTGTCAACCAGTGCTACTACCAAGACACTTGAACAATCCTGTTTTTGATGGTCACTGCAAAGCCAATGGGAAATTGACCACTGCAGAGCACCAGAGCAGGAGCTGGCATTTAACACCACACAGTAATCCCATCCATATTGGATGCTTCTAAATTGGGCTAACACGAGCACAGAGCAGCAAAAAGAAGGGGTGCTTTCCAGCACCTTCCAGTCACCGATGTTGCAGCCACCACCCCTTCCCATCTGCCAAATGCCAAGCACGACCCTTACTCTGTGATGAGGACCAAGTAAAATGGAGGAAAGGTGAAATGTGCTGTCTCCTTCCCTTAGTGCAAGCAGCTCTCACTCGAAGGTGTTCCACGATCACGCTTCCCCCCTGCAAATGATTTCTAAGTATTAAAATGGCAGAGGTACCAAATTGACACAGAACAGGGAAGAACACAGGTTTTAAAAAATGAATATGTCTGAAAAGCATGTTTTAAACGTCTCACTGTCTCAGGCCTTTTTCCTGAGTTTTGCACACTAGTTAACGAGGTACTTATCCTACAGAAGGAAGGACAATTACTTTAGATGCTCTGGGATCATGGCTTTTTGCTGCTCTGTACAATTACATGGCCCTCGCTCTCAGCAACCTACAAGTTTCTAAGGGAAAATGCACAGAAACTACAAAATCTGTTTGCAAGAGGTTATCCTAATGCCCTGCAACCATAGTCTGCTCCCTTCCAGCTACCCTGAGAATTCCCAGTTTGCTTTTGAGAGGGGAAGATACACTCCATCCAACGTAAACATGGTTCCCAAGCTCAAGATGGTAAATGCACAAACCCCTACGCTATGACAAATTGGTTCCGTTTTACCTCAAACCAGGACACCATGATAATTCATTTTTCCCCCTTTTCAAAAACAGCATGTCAGGAAGGGATCTGAAAAATCGTCTCTGGTCTCTCCAGGTGTCACAATATTTCTGATCTGTCCATAAAATGGATACAGCGAGGAAAGACTCTCTCTCTGGCACTATGTCTGATTTGTGTGACTCCTTCACACATCACTCCTCTGCCGGCAAACAACACTCTGCGCGATGGGAGTCCAAAAGCAAAACTGCTCTTGTGAAGCCGAAAACTTACAGGAGGAACAGAATTACCACTGTCAAAGCCATCTCTTGCCCAGGCGAACGCCTATCATACAGGGCACGCTGCACTCCCAGGAGCCACCGGTTCCCCTGGGGCTTGCAGGGACCTGCTGACTTCCCCAGCCACAAAGGGTTGCAATCTCTCTGCCTTAATGATTTCTGTAAATTCTTGCAAAATCAGCACCCTCAGCCTACAAAACTGAGACACTGTGACACTTGGTCTGACAGGGTCTAATTTTGCTTGCCATTGATGGTACCAGCAAAATGATAAAACAGCAGTGCAAGAATCCTTCGAGTACCTGGTCCCGAAACAGCCTGACCCTTAAAACAAGAACTTCATGTCGCATCCCACCTGGCAGCTTCTTATCCAACAAAAGACCTTCATAGGCTAAAAAGAGAAAGCATCAGAATATTTAAGCAGTATTCCTCACTGAAAAATCAGACTTTGCAGGGGGCAGCCTGCATTCTGACACCTGATGAATCTGCCCAACAGGTCTGTCTGAACACAGAGCACCTTCTGCAGCTTCGGAGTGCGCACACAGCCACCGGTGGCATTAAATCCATAGCTACGACCACGTACGCTGCTTTCAACAGATGAACCTACCAAAATTAGTTGGGACAGAACTTTATGCAGTGCAGTCGCTTTTGGGCTAAGCATGAATTTCTATTGCTACTTAGGTGCCGAAAAAACAAAATTATGAAGCCAATTTTCTATTAATTCCCTGATTCTTCTGTTTCTGCTAAACAATGCTGACCCTGCCTTCATTCTTGGCTGGAATCACATCTTCTCTCTGGAGATGATGCTGTGTATTTTAAATGTTGTCATCCACACACAGTTATTTAGTAAAATGCTTGAGAAACAATGTATTTGAATTGCTCACAAAGAAAAATCCACTGTAAGAAAGATGACTGCAAACCATTTATGATTGCTTTGAACAAAAATTTTCAAACAATTCAAATTACTTTAAAATTAGGCATTTTCATGTTTTCAAGTCTTTATACAAGCATGTTAATTGCCTTAAGCTTGTTTAATGGGTATTTTTCATTAAAAGACCATAATTTAATTCAATTAATAAGAAATTATTAAAGTGGGATTAATAAATTAAATACCTCCACCAATATTTTAAAAACATTAAGATCAAAGCCTATGCAAATTTTGTTGACAGTAAGACAATTTCATTTTTGGCCTTTCTGTATAAACAAGGGTTTTCTTGTTCTCCTGAGTTACACACAATTTCTATACATTACTGAATATACTACTTTAATCTTTAGCCAGCTTTTTCCATGTCTATAGACAAACCATGCAGTAATCCAAATATGAAAGGAGCAATTGCATCGATTCAAGGGTGACACTTACATGACTGCAATAATGAAAACAAAAAAGTTAATAAAAAGCTATTTATTGTTTTATCAACCAGTTCTTCTAAATGCTTCCCAAAGAAATTCCTCCACATCTGTCTGAAACTGCCTGTCTGCAACGGATGCAACAAATTCACCTGACAAGGCTTTAAACAGCCTGCAAAACAGTGATGACATTTGACAGACATACATATGCGCTGTCCTTTTATTAGTTTACACAAAGCACTGTCCACTTCAGGAACACCTTATTAACCAGGAATTATATTCACCTGTATTATTGCCATCACCACAGATTATTAAAAATGAATGAAATTTCCTTTTTCTTTCCTTTATGTTTGTTTGCTTTTTTCTTTTTTTTTTCTGTCAATACAGCAGAAGTCAATTACACCAGTTTTGGGTATATACATATTCAATTGCTGTATCTGTCAGGCTTAAGTTCTGCATAAGAAAAAACATTTGACTAGCATCTTCAATTCAGCACCTTTAAGTCCTGGTTTTGCTTAGCGCTGGTTTTACTGAATCTGCAGACAAATACTGTTTGGGGTTTGGCTGGGTTTTTTTGTTGCTGTTTTGTTTTACAAGGGTTAAATGCAATACAGCAAGGTGTATAGAGTGGAAGGACTGCATCAGCCTTTCGTAGCTCACCACACCTTGCCACACAGAGCAGACGTATCACCACATCAAGTCATGTCAGGTGGGCAGCTCTCTGCTGCTGGGGTCAATGACATTACCTACGTACTTGGCTGCTACACAATGCCAAAAACTCTCCAGTTTTGAAGATAGGCAGCCAGACAACATGCTGTTGCCAGGTCTGTGGCAGAAGCACATATTTTGGGAGAAAGGAAAAAAGCTCCTCATACATCTCCACTTTCAGGTAGACACCCTCCTGAATTCAACTACAGTGTCAGTCTACACCAAACAAATTTTGATTTTCAAGTAAAAATAATAATTGAAATATGAAAAAGACTGATGCTGGGCTCTTCCCTTTTGCTAACTGTTCCAACAGTGCAACATGGTTCCTGGAGCAGGGACCCTCCAGCAGGGCAAGGCATAAGCAACATCAGCCCTTGCCCCAAGCAGCTCGCACCCCTCTCCCACCACTTTACCTGACGGTGTGCTAGCTGCCGTCGTGGCTGTACTTGAGTGCGTGGGGCTGCTGTTTTCCAACAAGAGACAAGAGCTACCACCGCTGTTCTTCTTCACGAACGTCTCGGGGGCGCTGGGCAGGGGCACCGGGTGGCTGATTCCCAGTTCCTCTTCCTGAGCTTGCTGCCTTCTCAGCGCAACCTGCAAACAAGATGACAGACGTTGGACGCGCTCTCTGGCTTAGACACGATTTATAATGGCAACAATGAAAGACTCAAACTCAAGGCTTTTTTTTTTTTCCTCTTGGTAGGTGTTCTTTATGGTGTCAACATCATGATCCAGCCAGCGGGCAGAGGAAGATATAAAGGAGGTGACAAAGCTATTTTAAACCAACCCCTTTTCTGTCCAAACATATAGGAACAAACCTATGAAATGCTAGTGCTATAAACACCTCCCTCCAACGTGGCCACATGAAGACATTAAAGCTGACTGTATTCACCTGACACAGTTGCCCCTGAGCAAAGCACACAGTGAAAAGCATAGAGTCATTGCCCTCCTCACTGCTGATGCACAGCTGCTGAGGATAAGAAACTCATCTACTTGCAAGGCTCTGCTGCATATCCTCACCAAAATAACGCAGCTCTCCATGAGGGCTCATACTCGCAATCTGCTGCTCTGCCCAAGCTCACCAGGCGCCCTTGATAGCTCTTTGCTGGAAATCTATCCCTGGCAAAGCCCAGAGGCACTAATGCAGTCTGGACACAGGTGCAAACAAACCCCATCTCCTGCTTACCGAAGATGCAGAGGGCCCCTTCTGCTTCACCTGAACTGGCAGATCCATTTTGCACAGCCATCCTCCCGTGCCAAATATGACATGCTGTCCAGGCAGTAAACACGATGACGGGGGCCTTACAGCTACCTACCCTGCAACTTGCCAAGCGACTGATTTGCATCTGTATTTGCACCCTGGAAGTCTTTCCCAGATTACAGACTGCGACCATGGGCTTTTCCTGCTGGAAATTCTCCTGCGTAACTTGGGCAGGATGTCCCTCCATTTCTATGCTAAACAACAACGTTTTTCTAATACCGACACGTAATAATGCTAGAGAAAATAATAATAGCTCTTGCAATAGAGACATCCCAAACAGGGGGTTGTAGACTTGCAAACACCACAGGCAACTTTGACTTCACAAGCCAATAACCTTGACCTGCAAAATTCCACCAGCGCCAAGGGGCTTATTGCAGAAATATATCAAAAGGGGTAAAGACAGACTTTCAATGTGTAACTCCCATGCAGATAAGGCTCAGTTAGGGAGGCTTTCAAAGCCACTTTCAAATGCCAGGCAGGGAAGAGAAAAAAACCCCAGGAGGGCCACCGCCAGGACCTGCTAGGAGGAGGCATTCACCCCTGACGGAAGCTGCCGGGCAGCAGGAGCACAGTCTGTGCAGAAGGGGACACTTGTGTAGGCAACACCCCACTTCACACTACCATCCCCGAGGCAGGCAGCAAAAGGATCTGCATTTATTATGCCGTGGTTCACACTGGGCAGAGAAAGTACTGTGTAACTTGAGCATACCAGCAACTTCTGGAGCGCCCTGGCACCAACAAGAAGGAATTAGTTAAATGAATGAAAGCTCCCATGAGGTTCAGAGAACGTTTAGTATACCTGCACTGAATAAATAAATAAATACATAAATTTTTAAAAGCGGGGAAGGATTTAATCCAGTACTACTAAGGTTTTCAAAATCTATCAGCGGGACACTGATTTCATGCGGAATCAGGAAGCTCTAAGCGCACGTTAGTAGCAAACTGAGTCGGTGGGTCCAGTATCGCTGCCTTTACGTGCACGGGTTGTGCGAACGCCTTCCAAATTATTTGCCTGCAAGGGACTGTTTGCAGGAACGAGAACGTGGAACCCCACTCACAGAGCTCAAGCTGTTGGTTTTCAAGATAAGTATCACAAGGGCTAACACAGCAGTCATTTACACGCACACGAGCTGTGACTTCAGTGGGACTACCTAACGAAAAACGTTATTCCCACACAGAACTGGTTGCAGTTTGCTTTCTCAGTGAATACTATTGAGTCCTCGTTCAGATTTAAGATGACCCTGCCGTTTATAGAGCCAATCTATAAAAAAATCAAGAACAACGCCGTTAAAAAAAAAAAGTATTTTTAGAAATGCACTCAACTAAAGCCACCACCGAGCACCAGCAAAAGCACATAGACCGAATCTGAAACCACCAGTGGAAAATACTCTCACTAACCAATTAGTCGGCTAGATTATTCATTGCCTCGTCAAAAACAAACGGGGAGAGGAAAAAAAAAAAAAAAGGCACTCCGCCTTTGACTAGCAGCCTTCCCCCCGCCCGGCGGCTTTAAACCA